ATTTAGCATGTTACACCTGACTTCTTAAAAAATATAATAAAAAGAGCTAACGAAAGCATAAACGCCGTACCGCAACTCAAAGAAATGTAAATATTTTTTGAAAAATGTGCCATGTACCACAGCATACGGTATAGAGCAATGCTTCTGGTTTTGTGTCATACGCATTTTCCCTTACTTTCTTTTCTGATTTCAAGAGTTGGAAATGTCTAATTTAAGTAAAATCTGTGCCACATGCCACGACGCATGCAGCATATGCTGCGATGTGTGGCACAGTGAGGCTATTCTCACAAATGGTCGCACATTTTATCTTGTCTTGCCATTCCACCATTCAATCCTATTAACATAACAACCAACCAATACAAAATATCAACTCAACATCCAAACTATAATCAAACCACTAATTACAAATTTACCCCTAATTAGCAACTAATTTTTTTGGATTAAAATTTAAGATGTTACACCCTCTAATTGCAACTATCAACAAAATTGGAGATCTTGTTATGGAAGACTGGACAGTCACCTTCAATCACGTCTATAAGGAGGCTAACAAATGCGTAGATTGGTTGGCCCATTAGACTTCTATCAACAATTTAAATATTTATATTTTTGACACTTCACCACTTGAGTGTAGAAATCTTTTGTACGCCGACATGGCACAATATGTTGTTTAGTATGGTGTTTTTTTGTCCTCTTATTTAGGAATTAACAAAAATAACCTTACTTGTCATTTTTTACTATGATATTTTTTTTCACACTTTTACATGCTAAATTGATATTATTACTTGTCATTTTTTATATGAATACTAATGAAAACAATACCCTCACTTGTCATTCTCTCCACCACATCACCGATGGAGAGAATAACAATTAAACAAATGAGGGTATACACATGTATCATGGTTGTTAGAATATTATATTTGTTATTTTTTATATGTGTGCTTATTAAAACATTATGATTATTATTTTTTATACGTATACTTGTAAAAACAATATATTTACTTGTCACTTTCTATCACTGGTTAAAACTTATTTTTTACTCTCATGTTTGTTAAGAAGTCATGGTAACTTGTCTTGTTATATATGTGCTTGTCAAATTAATTATTTTATTTGTTATTTTTTACTATTATGCTTGTCAGAGTATTACATTTAATATTTCTCAAATTTGTATTTCTTAAATTGTTATTGTTACTTACTATTTCCCACGTGTATGCTTGTAAAAATAATATAAAATTAGAAGATTAATTTTGCTTTTTCACATTCAGTTTTCTATTCCATGTCCCATCTCTTCCAACAAAAAAAAGTAATGTAAATTTTAGTCCCTTCAAATTTATTTCGATTATTGATTTAGTCTCTTAAGTTTATTTTTTATCGATTTGCTTCATTATATTTTCTTAAATTATCATGTGAATCCTTTAAGTTTTAAAACATAAATTGACTTCAAAATAATTTAATATGTAAAATATATTGATAACTTAACATATATATGTAACTAAATGAGAACAATTAACCCTAAAATTAATTCAATTTTTATCAATATAATCTCTTGTATGATGTTTTATTCTCTTGTTTTTAAAATTTTAGAGTCTATTTTTTTTCTATCTAAGTGGTTATATTTTTTTTTATTAATTTACATGGCTTCCATTCATATTCTATTATCCATGTCAGCAAATTTTAGTAGTGTAACCTTAATTTTAAATATTAAGGACCAAATTGATAAACACAATAAATTTAAGGGACTAGACAGATAAAAATTAAATTTGAGGGATCAAATTGATATTTAAGACAAACTTAAAAAATTAAAAGTTGTTATTTACTAGTGAAATTTTCCCAAGCTGTTATTGATTTTAATATTTTAGCTAATCAATTTTGGTTATGTACTTTCCCCCCTATATTCAAATTCTGTTTGGATCTCAACAAAGCTATATAAACGGAATGAGTTGAGTAATTTATTAGACATAATTATATTTTTAGGAAAGGTCATCAGAGTTGGTGAAAATAATGTAGCAAATTTACGCTGGAAGGTAAAATTATGAGTGATTTTTTTTTAGCTTATAAACTAAGTATATGACAATTCAGAAATAGCAATTTCAGAGAACAAGTGAGGATAATGATGCGATCCACGTCTTCACGCTATATGAGAACACATGTACCTCCATGCGTTGCCTTCTAAGTTAAGTTCAGCTCTTACAAAAAAATTATTATCGTAATTGCAATTTATACTTATAATTATTTCTTTAATTTCAATTTCTGATTAATATATTTTGCTTCAAGTCTGGGCCCAGACTATTCCCCCCCCCCCTCTCTCATGTTTTTTGACCAAACTTCCTCTAGCATGTTTGAAAAGATGTCACTTAGCTTTAGAATTACTTAATTTTATATTCCAAGATATTTAACAATTCAATGTATTAATTCTCTAATCTGAAGCCAAATTGACAATTAGACTAGATTAAAATGTCAAGCATATTCCAACTTTACAGCTCAACTAACCAATCTAGCTCAGAAGCAGAGGTATTTCGAAGAATTTGGATTTGATTTCTTTTTATGCTCAATATAAAATATATTTCAAAACTACTATTCTTTCTACTGTCTTAATCATTTTTTTCGGAACATATGGCTGCAACAATTTTAATTACTTGTTTTTATCAATTTTTTAATATTGGTTTTATTGTTGAATTGTGTTTATCTTTTTGCTTTTAAATACTTTTATCTTTCATTTAGTTCTTTTCATGCCCATTTTTAATTTTTAATTATTTAAGATTTCCATGTATTTTAGAGAGAAGCGTCTTCCACTCTTGTACTAAAAAATGTCTGAGTAGTTACAAGCAGCAGGCAAAGAATGCCAAGACTTTTTTTTTTTTGTAAAAAGGCTATTTATTCATAAAAAAAATCGCTTTCTCATTGAGAAATTTGAATTTGATGACTGTAATATAGGTATTGAGTGCTTGTACAATCTGAATCTTTAAAATTTAAATCAATAATTATAAACTTATACTTTACTTAAAATGAATAAATGAGTTTATATAAATTATTTATCTAAATTTTAACAGTTGAAATTATATAAGCACTCAATATATGAATTAAATATGGTTATCAAATTTAGATTCCTAATTGAGTGCATAAATGATGTAAAGAAAAAGTGTATAACAGAAAAAGAAAACGACTGAGATGTAATTTCGAAAGAAGACAGATAATTTTGATTAAAAAAAGGACGAGGAATAATAATTATAACAAATATTATAATTTATTTTTATCCTCCCCCATTTTAAAATAGAAGAATTTTAATCAAGGATTAAGGAAGAGAGATATTTACCATGGGTTCCCAAAAAAAATCAGAAAATTCTTTATAAGATTTCTGGACTTAACAAAAATGAAATGAATAGTTGAAAAGACTAAAATGCCTTTCTGTAAAATTAATAAATACTTGATTATTACCTAATTTTACTTATTATTGCTTACTTGTACTTATTAATTCCTTGTTAATACTTGTTAAATAGTTAATTATTTAATTTTATGACTCCATAATCTTAAGAACATTACTTGTTAATTTTATAACTTAGTTGTTAATTTATCAATATAACTTCTTTACTATTTACTTGACTTATAAATCATTTACAAGACTCGTAAGTTATTAATTTTGTTTCTCCATTTGTTAATTTATCAATATCAGTTATTAATTATTAACTTTTACTTGTTAATTTACAAATATCAATTTTAAATTACATGACTTGTCAATAATCATGTTAATTGAATCATTTTGTTCTAAATGTAGAATTATTAATTATTAATTCTCTAGCTTTACTAGTTAATTTATCCATATCAATTGTCAATCATTTTTTATTTCTTTTGTGCAAGGATACTTCAATTTTTTAGCCAACCATTTTATTTCAATTTAGTCTAGAAATCCAGCAGAAAATTTTCACATTTTTTTGAAACCCATTAATAAATATCTCTTTTATGATTCCTAACTGAAATTCTCATTTTTAAAATATTAATCATGCACATGGACCTTTAAATATAATTAAAAGTTTTTTTGCCAAGCAATTCAAGGTAATTGATGCGTGCAAAATAAGTTTTCCTTTCATGTATCACTCATAAATAATACTCCCTCTATTTAAAAATATATGACATTTTTTAGAGACTGAATGTTTAAAATGAAAGGTATTTTACATATAAAAAAATGAAATGTATTTTAAGTATTTTAAGATATAATTATTATTTTTTAAAAAGTATCCCTAATGAATAAATCACTCTATATTTATTTTAAAGTCAAACATCCTATTAAATAGAGATAAATGTAAAAAGATTATGTTAGTTTGAAGATAAATTTTTTGAATAATATTTAGTTAAAAATACTTTTATATTTTTGAATGGAGACCGTATCACTTTCTTACTTATAAAATAATATACTTTCTCTGATTTCATTCATAAGGCACGTTATAAAAGGTTCATTTAATTTTATTTATAAGTCACTGTGTGACTGTTTATATAATATTTAAAAAACATTTTTAAAGTTATCCTTAATAAAAGAGAAGAAGTAATATGATATTATTTTTTGATTTATGATATAAAGATATGCTTAAAATTTTACACATATATTTTTTGTATTAGTATTAATAAGATTGGTAAAAATAACTCATAAAAAATTAAAGTAGTTATTATTCATAGCCCAAGATGTTTGCTAAAGGTGATAACATTTTTGCGGACATTGATAACCTTAAATATTTCTGATACTCTTTAAAATAACTAGTAGCAGTAATATTTCAGTAAAAAAAAAAACTAGTAATATTTGATAACAGAATTTTTTTCTAAAACATGGCTTATATGTGATAACGAAGGAAATATTATTCACAAGTGATTTTAATTTGAAAATGTATTCAGATTTAGTATTAAAATTGCATCACATTTTAAATGTTTAATTACATTCGGGGGTAGAAAATGCACTGTATAATGACTATATTAATAACGGTAAAAAAAATATTATTCATTGACCAACGAAGCAGGCGTCCCGCTTTCCGTTGGAATTTCTGGCTATAAAGGACCCAACTCAGGACTTGCTTCTCCCAGAAGCCCCCAACACCATCTTCCAACAATGGCTTCCCGATCCCTCACCTTCGTCTTCCTTCTCCTCTCCTTCTCTGCTCTTCTCATTTCCGTCTTCGCCGAACACAACTTCGTCCGCCCGCTCGATCGGAAGGTCCTCGGTCTCAAGAAAGAAAAGCTCAGCCACTTCCGATTCTACTGGCACGACATCCTTAGTGGCCGGAATCCCTCCTCCGTCGCCGTCGTTCAGCCGCCGATCAACTCCACCACGGCCTTCGGACTGGTGAACATGATCGATAACCCCCTGACACTGGGTCCGGAATTGAGCTCCAAAACGGTGGGAAGAGCTCAAGGGTTTTACGCGTCGGCGTCGCAGAGCGAAATAGGGCTTCTAATGGCGATGAATTTCGCGTTCGTGGAAGGGAAGTACAACGGAAGCACCATCACGGTGCTGGGGAGGAATTCGGTGTTCAATAAGGTGAGGGAGATGCCGGTGATCGGAGGCAGTGGCCTTTTCCGATTTGCCAGGGGATACGTGGAAGCTCGAACGCACTGGTGGTCTCCCACTTCAGGGGACGCCACTGTCGAGTATAATGTTTACGTTATGCATTATTGATTCTTCTTCTTCTTCTTCTTCTTCTTCTTCTTCGAATTCAATATCAGACTTTCTTTTGTTCTTTTTTGGTGTTAATGTTGTAGACTTGTAGTCATATTTCGGATGTGAGATATGGTTTGTTAGGCTTTTGCTTTAATTGTTATTTTCTGAGGCATAATGTGGGGGTTAGTCTGTCTCCCTCCAATTAGAACGATGATAATCGTGATAATAATTTATACCCTTCTTCTCGCTGCGTGATCTCCTGTTCGTAGTCTACACATCTTGATTGATGATTTTCATCTCGTAGACAAACTTGAGTCTTTCAGATCTTCATTTTGATACGTGTGTGTTATTATATAGCTTGTGTACTGTGGTTGTTGAAAGACAAGTGGTAATCAGATATCTGGAAGAAGAAAAGAAAACACAAGGGAATATTTTTAGGAGACGGAAGCTGGTTGTGGTTGAGGATATATATAGAATATCACAGAAAATTACAAATCCTGTTTTGCTACTTTGTGAAATTTATTTAAATGGTGTTAGCAATAATTTAAATATGAAATTTATTTGAACATTGAAGTTGCTATGCATACTATACATAGTAACTATTCTATTATCAAAACTTGTATGGAGAATCCTGCGAATTATCTCAAACTATGTGCATATTGTCAAATATCAATTTTAATTTTTTAAATATAATTAGTTATAAAAAAAATATCATATTTATTTATAGATCATCTATTCATCTTACGTAATTCACACAGTTGATATTTGACGATTTACGTCTAATTTTCAGAAATTTATAATTCAAGCATACTAATTAAAAACAAAGTCCTTCAATTAATTTAGCTGACAAGTACAGATCAGGGTCACTGTGAATCTACTGATTTTAATAATTGTTTAAATTTAGTTTTGTCGTTAAGTGACTCGCGTTTTCCTCCTCTTAAATATTTTTATCTTTTATTTAAATTTTCAGATCCATTTTTAATTTTGAATAATATAAATAAATAAAATGATTGTTATTATCATATTATTACATATATTTATAAAAAAAATCATATTATTACATATTTAATGATTTTTCATCCAAACATGTACTATAAAATTAAAATTCCCATGTATTTAGGGGGAAGTGTCTTCTATCATTATGTAAAAAAAATGTCTTATTAGAATTATGTACATAAGTCTATCAAAAAACAAAAAAGAATTATAAACATAATAAGGCTAAGCGTGCCTGAACTTTTGACGGATACTTTCCTCTTTAAGATCATTTAGGCGAATTATAAATGATGTAAAACATTGCGTATTTTTATTTCAAAGCAGTAATATATTTTTAAAAAATTAATAATATAGCACAAGACATCATGGCAATTTAAAGAGTACGAAAATAATTACAAAAAAATTACTGTAACATTTATTATGATATTGGCTTGTAGTTGTAGTTCTCTTTTTTCCTCTCATTTGATTAATTTTTCAACAACTCTCCTTTTTAAATGAGAGAATTTACGGTAGGCGTTTCCGGTTATAAAGCACTCAACTGAGGGCGCCCTTTTCGCAAACAGCATCTTCTAGGTTCCAACAATGGCTTCCCGATACCTCGTCTTCCTCTTCCTTCTCCTCTCCTTTACTACTCTTCTCATTTCCGTCGTCGCTGAACATGACTTCGTTCGCTCGATCGATCGGAAGCTCCTTGGTCTCAAGAAAGAGAAGCTCAGCCACTTCCGGTTTTACTGGCACGACATCGTCAGCGGCCACAATCCCACCTCCATCCCCGTCGTTCCTCCGCCGGTCAACTCCACCACCGCCTTTGGACTGCTCAACATGATCGATAACCCCCTGACAATGGGTCCGAAAATGAGCTCCAAAATGGTGGGAAGAGCTCAAGGGTTTTACGCGTCGGCGTCGCAGAGCGAAATAGGTCTTCTGATGGCGATGAATTTCGCGTTCATAGAAGGGAAGTACAACGGAAGCACCATCACGGTGCTGGGGAGAAATCCGGTGTTCAATAAGGTGAGGGAGATGCCGGTGATCGGAGGAAGTGGCCTTTTCCGATTTGCCAGGGGATACGTGGAAGCTCGAACCCACTGGTTTGCTCCCAATTCAGGGGACGCCATTGTTGAGTACAATGTTTATGTTATGCATTATTGATGCCTCTCCTTCTTCTAATTCAATTCCAGACTGTTCTTTTTGTGGTGTTGGTGCTCTGATCCCAGCTATTCTTACTCAGCTGTCTGGGAATGTGATGGTCTGTTCAACTTTTGCTCTGATTATTATTTTCTTAGACAGAATTTTTTTTGGGGGGGGGGGGTGGTTTACTTTTAGCTTGTCTTCTTCTGTTTAGAAGGATGGTGATCACAATAATTTATGCTTCTCTCTGTATCATCGTTTCTGATCGTCCTCATTTCCTGAATGATGACCTTCTTCTTATAGACAAACTTCTGTGTTTCAGATTCATTTCGGTGTGTGTGGGTGTAGTTGGTTGAGTTTTTGAAAGACATTACAAATCCAGGAACAGGGAAGAAAATACAAGGGAAATTTTTAAGAGCCAGGAAGTGGTTGAAAAAGAGAATAAATTTGCAGATCCATATGTACTTTGTGAAATTTATTTAAATGGATCTTAAATATAATACAATAATTTAAGGATAAAACAATCATGAACAATTGAACATATTTATGAAACTTGCATGGAGAACTATGTGAATCATCTCAGACTTCATCTAAATTGTAGCGACAAATAGATACCTTGCTTATTTTATTTATAAATGATTTTATGTAATTTACAATTCGACAATTTATAATTAGTTTTCAGAAAATCTTAACTTAAGCTTAGTGGGGACCTAAATCTTCAATTCTTGATGTTACTTGACCGAATTTCACTGTGTTTAGTATGACTAGTTTCCTTCCGAGGTACTTGTGTCATTTTCTTCAGTGAAAAATATTTTATATGAAGCAATAGTTGTTTTAATCTTTTATGATAATCTTAATGTTTCTGTATGCTTGTAAATGTAAGCAAATGGGAATTTAATATTCCTTTTATCTCAAATTATAAAATATTTTTGAAAGAGATTTAATATTTTAAAATATAAAACACTTTGAGAAGATTAAAATTTTATTAAATAGACTTATTTTAATATTATTTTTTTATAATTAATTTTCATCCATTCTCTTTTTAATATATTAAATTATGAATAATTTTAAAAATTTATATTTATATTTTAAAAAATAAAATTATTAAATATATTTAATAAAATTTATTAATATATAAAATTTTATTTAAAAGATTTTATAATTAAAAAAATACTTACTATTTACTTTTAGAAATCTTAAAAATATCCATGATGGCAAATATTGTTCGGCTTGTGAGCGTCGCAGGTCTTGCTTTTTCTCGTGGAAAAAGTTGCACGAGAAGTCGAGAAGTGAAAAGTGAACGAGATTCCAATGGAATGGTGTCCTACCTTAACAGTTTAGCTTAAGATTGACATTTCCAATGGCAGCCCATGCGATAAGATAATTATGTCTGAAAAAAGTTCAAGTTATCATTATTTACCATAGTGAAGCAAGTGTTGGTGAGAATGAGGACAACTCTTACTCTAAAATTCTTGGAAATAATTAAAGATTTGGTCTATTTTCAAGAAGTCAGTGCGTTGTGTGTGGGTGCCAATTCAAGGTCATGAGTCACAATGTCTCCATCCCTTGTCTTATTTAGTTATTTTCAATCCTCCACTAGAATGAGATATGTTTGAGTAAATTTCGTTTTTACTCTCTCTAGACTTATTTATAAATTATTTTTAATATTTTTATTGAAATTAAATATAATTTTTTAAATTTTATTAAAATTGCTTAAAAGCTTAACAAGTTTTAATTTATTTTTATTAAATATATATACTTTAAAATAAAATACTTTAGTATTTAATAAATTTCCTGACATTTACTTATGAAAAAAATAAACTTCCTAACATTTAATAAGGATAATATGGTAAAGATAAAATAATTCATATTGAGATGTCTAGTAAATATGATTAAAATAAATAATTTTTCTTGTCCTATAAATTGGACAAAAAGAATATTTGAGCATGCTTCTATTTCAATGAAAATTGAGGGTTTTTTTTAATTTGTATTTATAAAATATTAGGGATGATAGATGATTATTCAACCTGAACATAGGATTCCCATGGTGGGTGAAACGCAATGTTGAGGGGGCATTTTCCCATGGGAATTTACACACTGCTTGTGGTGGACTTGTGCGTAATGATCAAGGAGTCTTTGTGTCTAGTTTTGCCTGTAGAATGGAGGATGGCGATAGTGTTACAGCCAAATTGTGGGCTTGTATGCATGGGTTTGAACTTGCTTAGGATGCTGGGTTCCGAAAGGCTGTGCTCGAGTCTTCTGCTGGAGCGTTAGACTTGATATCTAAAGGCTGTAACGAGGGAACTTGATGATCTATGAGCTAGTGATGGAGCTAAAGTCCATGCTGCAGAGGAGTTCGGTGCTCCTAGGAGTCACGTTCTTCTCTATTGCACCAGAGGAGCTTAGTGTTGGGGAGGGATCTCTCCCTTTCTTTACTTTCTTCCTTTTCTCAATCTCCATCCTTCATCAAATTTATAATTAAAATAAATTTGTTTAATAAAATAAAAACAAATTTATAATTAAAATAAATTTGTTTAATAAAATAAAAACAGTGATGAAGATTGAAAAAAATGATAGAAGAGAAAGGTAGATCCCGCCCTCCCACTTATTGCCCCCATGGCTAGGGATGCTATTAATTGTAATAGCGGTATAGGCTAAATCTAGCCTTGGTTTTGTCTTTTTCATCAAAAAAAAAGATTCCCATAAGTGTTGGACCTAGGAACTTTTTGTTGTAGGGACAACATACTATGAAGGATAAATATTCTCACAAAATTTTAGATTCAACTTCAAAAAATTAAACTATTCTTTGATCCATTAAAAGGCATTAATATGTTTTTTTAAGGATTGTCATTCTAATTCTTCATTTAATAAAGTAATGGTAATTTATGATCTTATTTATAATAATTGAGACCTTGTCATAAAACAAACATTCAGAGAGAATTTGAATTGTACTGATTACTTAGCCAAGATTGCTTATACTGCTAGAACGAACACTATTTTATTTTGAAACTGTCTCTTAAGTTACTTAGACATCTTCTTGTCGGATAAAAGGAATGCTTAGTTTCTCTTTACTTCTGTAATTCAAGCGTTGGCTTGCCTTTGTAACTCAAAAAGAATTTTAGATTCAACAACATCATAAATTTTAAATTTATTTATTATATAAATTATTTTTTTAATTTTAAAAATAATGTAACTCAACCGACCAATAGTTAATTTAACTTTTAATTAATCAAAAAAATGACAAAAAAGATTTTGATTCTTTTCAATATTGGATCATTGTTTGTAACTTTTTGAGTCATTTTTAATTTTTTTTATTTTTTAATCAACCAATTATAAAATTTAATTTTTATTAACGATAGAAATTAAATTATACTATTTTTAGAAATTAAAAGAATAATTTACGTAATAAATAAATTTAGGGTTTATAGTACTATTTGATCTAGAATTCATAAGGTAATTTGTGTCAACACACATGTATAATTTTTGCAACATTAAGATATAACATATTACTAACAGTATAAATATGCACCAGAAATCTGCTCTATCATTTCTCATATTTTGATAATATTGAATGATTTTTTTCATTTTCATTACCATCAAAAATTTCCCTTCCTGTATAGATAATTAAATAATCAGTCAACAATTTATCTCCATTGTATTTCTTTTTACATTCTTATAATATTGGTGGCAGAGAAAACTCAAATTTTAAAAGTAGAATGGATAGACAATATGGATGTAAGATGGCTTTAATATCGGGAGCAAATATTTTTCCTCTTGCAATCTCACTCAACACACACACACACACACACACACACAACACACGCATTGTCATATTGAAACCAAAAAGCTTCTTTGCAACATGAGAAACAGGGCTCTCTTACTAGAACATTCTGGGATGATCATATCTGTACCTATTAATACTATTCTTTTATATGAAAAATTTATGTAAATAGGACCCAAGGAACTTACGAAGACCAAAACATATTCTCAAGCTTAAAAAATATATATAAATCACTTATCAACAATACTTCTACACCGGTGACAGGTGAGAGATTTGAAGTAACAAGGCCCACTAACTTTTGTTGGTTTTAATACTGTCGATAATGTTAAATTATTTATTATTACAGCTTAAAAGAATTGATAGTGTGCTGTGTGTGGGAGACCAATTCTATGTCACCAGTTGGCAGCCGTTATGTCCCGGACCTTTCATTATTGATATTTCAACTTGGACTCATTATTATGACTTTTTGCTTTTTTAAAACAATTTTTGTGTATTATGGGGCCCAATTTTTTGGAGCACTGAATCACATGACCTGGACAAGCTAAAATTTTTTTTATCATGATGGGGATAGTGCAGGCCAGGCCCAATAAGAAACCCAAGAGATATTCAGGCTCATTGGGCGGTTTTTTTTGGGCCAAGAATTGATGAAATCCATGGTCATAATTAATTAATTAATTTTTTTTAGAGAGGGAAAATATGTCAGTCGTTTGTTGGTTTTGAACAATAGTTGGCGAAGGAGTGCACCAGCAAGTGGGCTCGCAGCAATAAATGGATAAGTAATGCTCCTATAAATGCTTCACAACTCACAGACACTTCGAATCTGATTGCTTTTCTTTTAGTCTTCTTGGTGTTCATATCTGTGAATGCATCTGCACACCCACAACTTGAAATTCCTGTGTCCTCCTTTTGTATCTATCTGGCTTTTCTATTTTATCTTAATGGTGAAAACTTGTTTTCACACAAGTAGAATAGATGTCTGGGTCTGTAAGATGCTTTTAATTGAATTATATTTTTAATTAAGTAGTTAATTATCTTTAAAATTATACACTATTTTCATATTTATTTTTATATAATATGACGTTTTAATTAAAAAATCTCATCAATTACAAAAAATCTCATCAATTACATTTTTAATTACACATATTTTTGGAAAAAAATATTAATTATATATTAAAAGACTCAAACTACTTTATATTTTTTTTAACATACTCCCTTAATTCTCCTTATAGAGCAGAAAAAAGATTAATTTTAATTATATTTATCGAACATTTTATTATTTGTTATATTTATATTTACCTTTCTATCTTTATTAAATGTGAGAAAAAATTATAAAAAAATAATTTGTTTGCTGTTATCAAGAGATAGAGTAAAAAATTTATTAAATTTTAAAGTTTAAAATTTTCTTTAATTTTGGTGAAATATACTAAAAGTGACTTATAATAACTAGAACAAATAATACTTTGATCTAACAAAAATAATATATTACTTTGAAAAAAAGATTTTATAATAATAAACAAAGGGACAGGAGATCAAAATTCTCAATAATGAACGTCTTGTTTTCTTATATAAATTAGTTTGTTGTTTGTTATTATTTTTTTAAAAAAATATGGTGGGGACATGAGCATGAATGCTCTTGCCCAAATTTTCAACACCTTGTCCCCAAACTGTCCTCTGAATAAGGTTGTCCTCTTTTCATACTAATATCCTCTTATTGCGATCCATCTCATTTCAAACTTGCTGTTTTTTTAAATATTCAAAGTATGGTTTGAGTCATTGCTTCTCTTAAGAACAAACAATTGGCTAAAGTCAGTCTTTTCTCATACAAATATTTTTTTTTTAAAGATTGGAATTAAAGCTGGTATTGCAAACAAGGTTGTAAAAGCTAAGAATTATGCCAATGATATTCACAAGAAAGCAAGGGAGTGAAGAAGATGGTAGCAGAGGCTTCAAGTGTCCTGAAAGTTAAAGTACCTCCTCAACTATGAAACTTCACATTTGCCTCACCCTTCCATGTCCCTTCTGCAGTTTTTTCTGCACCTCCATTTCCTCTTTTTTTTTTCTTTTCATTTTTCATCTAATTACTTTTCATTTTACAATGCATAATTATTATTTTTTTAGAAAAACCGATACTTCTCATAGTACCTCTTTAAGGTTGTGCAAGAAATGTGGGGTTCATGCTGAATTGGGCAAGATCACGAGCCGTAATATTTAGCTTAGCTCAATGTAAAATCAAACCAGACCTCAGGTTAGACACAAACCTGATCTAATGTAGTTGTTGTGCAATATTTATTATTCAAGTCTTATGAATAAAAAAATTGAATTTCAATTAATATTCTAAAAATTAGATTGTGGATTAAAAAGAACAAACATGTGAGACGTGTAAAGAATGAAAGTTAAACACCGAAATAAAGAGAGCAAAAGGGAGAAAAGCAAAAAAGGATGAATCATCAAAGAGATAGATAGAAGAGGGAAGGCCTTTTAAAAGGGTATTTAATCAAATGGAATGATGCATTTGATGATCTAAGTCAAAAAGGTGAATATGGGATTGAACTAAACAAACGTTTTCTTAAGTAAAAAAATTATGGGAAAAATAAAAAACAAGAGCAGTAATAATTTTGTTTCTTTTGAATCTAAGGATTGCCTTTCACAAATTCCGAGCATGTACTTTTGAATAATATCCATGTGGAATTTTTAACTGGATCCAATTCCAAGCTTTCCCTTATCTTTATCCTTTATCTTTTCATTTAATTAATGTTCTTTGCATTACAAAAATCATACTTTGATCGAACCTTGTGTGAATGTAAGTCCTATGTTCAAACTTAAACAAATCCTTCTTTTACAATATTATTTAATTTAATAAATAATCAGATCCCAAAATATTCCCAAATACTACATTTTTCTCGTGTTCTTTTAAGAATCCGATGCAAAAATTGAAACTTTCCTTTAAACGTGGGGCCGTATGTTCGTCCTTTGCTTTGCCTCTAGTATAGGACCTTGTTTTTCAAACCTTAGGACACACTTTTCTACGATTAACATAAAGATGCATGATGAAATTTATTCTTTATTAGGAAAATAAAATTTCAAAGAGAACAACAAAATAGGTACTCTATTATACCAAAAGGGTAAAAGACTATTCAGAGAGAGAAAAATGGACGACTGTTTTGATATATGTTCATTGTTTAACCGAAAAGAAAAAGAAAATGGACGAATAAATTGTGTTATTAGTATTTATATATCAATTATATATATGGGAATTTAAAGATGAGGTTGACAAAACAAAGCCATGCAAGGCCAATCATTTTCGGCGTCTTGAGTGAAGAAATGAAACCTTTTGATCAAGAAATTGAATTGAAAGTGATGTATCATCATGGACGGAGGCAGGATTTACTTATGGGGCTCCATATTGAAAAGGAAAATTAAACAATATTGTATAAAATTTGATGATGAAATGTATACTTTTTATTTAAAAATATAAGACATTTTTAATTGAATATCATCTTCGAATAAAAAAATTACTTACTTTTCAACTAATTATTTTTTATATATTTATTTCTATTAAGTACCCTACGATAAATATAAAGTTATTATTAATAAGGATATTTTTTTTAAAAAGGCAATAATTATACTTCAAAAGACTAAAAATATTTTATATTTTTTAGCATTTAATACTTTAAAAAATGTCTTACATTTTTAAACGGATGAAGTAATTCTTATACTGTATGTTCCAAATTATTCGGACAAGGACCTAACCATATTTAGTTTCATCCTCAAATGAATTCCATATTTAATTTCAAGGACGAATGTATTTTGCTCGATTATTCCTCCACTGATGAATACAAAATTTAGTTCAAGTGGGTGGAATAAATTAAAAGGGGGGGACTTTTGAAAGAGAAACATAATTAGGAATGTTCAATGTTCACTTTAAACAGTATTAAGTTGGCATTGTTGATTAGTGCACCTACCCATGAGACGCGTGAGGCCTCAGAGCATCATAGCGTACGTATATAATCATATGTTTAACCCCTTTTCATTTTTTTAATAAGATATAAGGAGTATACTTTATTGAGGACAGAGTCTGACATATTTCTTAAGCCTTGCAGCATTGAAGATAAATGATAAACCTCTTTCAACTAAGTTATTATCACTAAAAACTTGTTACCTATTAATATCATTTGAATCTTGAAGAGTCCGCCTATACATGTGAAGCTACACAAGGGATGAGGAAGTTGTGGTCCTAAAAGAAGTGAGAAAAGCATCAGAGCCTAAGAGTGTCACTATTGGTCTACCAAATCTGATATTCCCTCCCATGGCTTCAATTATTGTAATCTTCTTCCTCGCTCCATTTCCTGCCACAACCATTACTTTCATTTTTTGGGCTAAAGTATAATAAATAAAATTAAAGTTATAGATATTTTTAAAGAACCTGTAAAAACATCAATAACAAATTTTATTTTATGTTTTTTAAAAAAGGATCATCGTCTTTTCTCCTTAGCTGAAACTAAAATTATGAATGTTAAAATTTACTTTAATGTATATAGATAATAATCAATAATTAAAATTCCAATTGAGTGTATAATCCATAAAATATATAATCTATGACAAGCTAAATTACTCATATCCTATCAGCCCTATGAAAACATCAGAAAAATGTCTAATTTGATATTAAAATCAAATATGAGTTTTAAAATGAAAAAAACTGAATCTAGTAATTTGAGTTTATTCAGATTGAGATTAAAATACTTAAATATATAAAAAATTATATAGCCAAAACTAACATAACATCTCAGCTTTTGAACTAACCAAAATTTTTTATTTTTTATTACATTTCTTTTTTAACTAATTTTAATTTTTATCTTAAAAAGATTTTCAATTTTTATTTTATTTTATTAATAATAAAAAAATATTTTGGGTATTCAATTTAAACCCATGTCTAAAGTAATGAAAAGTGCAGTATATTTGGCTTTGACATTAAATATCTTAATGTTAAAAATATTAATGGTTAAAATGTCGAATGGAACTTAAATTTAACTGCAAATGTTACTTATCATGTAAAGTAAATCTAAATTAAAATATATTTTTGTTACCTTCTTATCATGTAAAGTAAATCTAAATTAAAATATATTTTTATTATATTTTAATTATTTAAGGAATAAAATTATTATAATATAAATAATTTAGAATCAGAGCAAAAGTACCATAACTCATTAAAAAAAATAAACTAATAATATAAGCAAATATTCCAGGCGCAAAAAGGGGAAAAAAACACAACAAAGCACAGGTATAGGTACGGACAAGTCTTCGGCTCAGCTAATTTGGCTCGGCTTATCACTCTCAACGCAATCCCCACCCGTGCTAACTTAGCGCGTGCTTTCCCAGTTTCCCTCTCTCACAGTCTCACAGTCACAGACAGTGCCCCACTATCCCCACCAATTCAATTCAAATTTGCTTCGCAGGAGCCGCTTTTGCGAACTTCAAACCAAAATCCCGGCTCTCTTTTCTTGTCTTCTTCCTTCCCTCTCTCTCCCCTCTCTCTATTTCTCCATTCTCTCTCTACAGACCAAACCTTTCTCTCTCTGTCTTCCGTTAATTCCGTCTGCGTCTTCTTCAAAAGAATAGTAAAACCCGGCTTCCAATCCTTTGCTGTTCTGCATTTCTTCCGTTAATCTTCCTCATCATGTCCCTCCAAAACCCACCATTCAAAGACCTCCCTGACGCATCCCCAAAACCAGACAAGAAAAGCTTCGTCACTTCTCTAATGGAAGCAGCGACTCTCCGATCGCCTTCCTTCAAAGAAGACACCTACTTCGTTTCCCACTTGAAATCCTCCGAGAAGAAAGCCCTCCAAGACCTCAAAAACAAGCTCGCTGCCTCCGAGGTTTCGGACTCGTCCATGTGGGGCGTTTCCCTGCTCGGCGGCGACGACAGAGCTGACGTTATCCTCCTGAAATTTCTTCGAGCGAGAGACTTCAGGGTGGGAGATTCGCTCACCATGCTTCTGAAATGCCTGGCTTGGAGGAAGCAGTTCGGAGCAGACGACGTCGTCGAGGAGGACTTGGGTTTCAAAGAGCTCGAAGGGGTCGTCGCATACATGCAGGGTTATGATAAAGAGGGACACCCTGTTTGCTACAATGCGTATGGAATTTTCAGGGACAGAGAAATGTACGAAAGAATCTTCGGGGACGAAGAGAAGCTGAGGAAATTCTTGAGATGGAGAGTTCAAGTTCTCGAAAGAGGAATCAAGCTTCTTCATTTCAAGCCAGGCGGGGTTAATTCTCTGATTCAGGTCACCGATTTGAAAGACATGCCCAAGAGGGAGCTCAGGGCAGCTTCCAATCATATTCTCTCTCTGTTCCAAGACAATTATCCAGAAATGGTGGCTCGTAAGGTAATCTCAATTAATTATTTCACGAGACAAACAACGAGATTGTTTGATGAATTATGGTGGGTTGTGTTTGTTTGTTTCAGATTTTCATAAATGTCCCGTGGTACTTCAGCATGCTCTATTCGATGTTCAGTCCTTTTTTGACCCAAAGAACGAAGAGCAAGTTTGTGATCTCTAAGGAGGGAAATGCTGCGGAGACACTCTACAAGTGAGATCATAGATTCCATTTTTGTTTACCTTTTCAGTGAATGGCTTTCTTTTTTCTTTTCTGCTGGATGGCCTGTTCTGTACAGATCAATCAACCTGTTCTGTCCAGAATGGTTTTATTTTGAATCCTGTGAATGTTTTTGCTGCATTGAATAAACTGTCTGGTTTTGGCCGGAAAAAAAATAAACTGTCTGGTTTGATTTTGTCCTTTTGTATAATAAGTTGCTGCTTAGTTTGATCGAATGAGATTCTCACATGTCCGCCTAACCTCATTGTGTTTTTTGGGGTTGGCTTGATCGATGAGGCTGTTTGTGTGTACAGATTCATAAGGCCTGAGGATATTCCGGTTCAGTATGGCGGTCTGAGCCGACCGAGTGATTTGCAGAATGGTCCCCCAAAGCCTGCTTCTCAGTTCACTGTCAAAGGAGGGGAGAAGGTGAACATCCAGATTGAAGGAATTGAGGTAATTATTTAAATTAAAATTTCCTGTTTAGATTTTTGGCTTGCTTGGCTTTTGGTCAGTAAAATATCAGAATAGGAGGAATTAAAATCAAATTTTAAAAATAAAAAACTAAACAAAGCGGTTTCTGGGATGTTGAGTTGGTAAAATGTCAGATACAAACATGGAAAGAGAATGACGATATAAATTGAACATGATAATTGGAATATGATAATAAAAAAAATAACTCGTGTCTTAGACAATAATTAAAAAAAAAAAAGAAAACTTGGAATATGATAATCGTATAAATAAAATTTAATCAAAATCTTCTTGTTCTTTTATTTTTGTTTTTCAGAAATCTGTTTTTCTTTTCTTTTTGATATTTATTCTGTATTCCAAACATGAGCTAGTGTTTGAAAATTGGAACTCGCAGGCTAGATCTTAAAAATAGATAATATATTGCCTACAAATCAATTTGCCAACTAATAAAGTGCAGCGACATTTTTTCCCCCCAAAATCAACCTCATGTCTCATTCAGCTTTCGGAGACTTGATAGGGCTTGATTGAGAGTTTAATTACTTTGATAAAATTATAAGCATAATTTTGTCGTGTTTGATGCTCGAATAGCAGTCTCTATCATCTTATAATCATACATTCATATTGAGAGAGGGAGAGAGGATGATACAAGCAAAGAAAAAGTGCGAGACCTATTTGAATTTGCTTGACACCCCCATGAAACAAAACATGACCAAGGCACCGGTCATTGAACCAATGAATGCATTGGTTTAAGGGTTAAATAGTTAAAAGCATAGTCTAATCAGTTGTGAATAAAACATTTCAGTATGCTAGTCAAAATATTGGTTCAATGGTTTACTGGTTTAACTTGTTGGGTTGACATGATTTTTCTGTCCTATGAACATTAACACATGAAATTACATGTAAACACTCTTGTTTAGTGATATGTTCATTTCATGTTAATGCTTGGTTGGTGAAATGTGTGTAGGGTGGAGCAACAATAACATGGGACATAGTGGTAGGAGGGTGGGACTTAGAGTACAGTGCAGAGTTTGTGCCGAGTGCACAAGGAAGCTACAGCATTGCAGTTGAGAAGGCAAGGAAGGTAGCACCGTCTGAGGAAGCAATCCACAACTCTTTCACCACCAAAGAACCCGGCAATCTCGTCCTCTCCGTTGATAACTTTGCTTCCCGAAAGAAGAAAGTCGCTGCCTATCGCTACTTCGTCCGCAAATGCACCACCACCACCAACGACGCGTGATCTCAATTTATTGACTCTTACCCAAAAAATGTCTCTAATTAACTCCTATAGTGCTTTGCTGCTATTTTATTTACTTACATGTGCTTAATTCTCTGAACTGGCGGGCTCAAGTGCAAGCTCTGTTTGTTTCAATTACTTTTGGTGTAATCGGTAGTAGGTAGTGTGATGGTACAATGTAAAAGGAGAACGAGAGTGGGATTTAGGGTTATATGGTATGGATATGATTGTATGATGACTTGGTATACAAGAGAAGCAATTAGTTTTGCTCACATCTTAATCTGATTGTTTCTCTGTTTTCATGTCTCTGTCACCAAAGTTGACACTGCCTTGTCTCTCGACGCCAAACATTTCTTGCCAAAGATTTGCTTGCCAAAACATCATAGACATTATGGTAGCAAGTTTAGTCAAGAAGTTCCGGACTTTGAACTGATTTTTTTAATAATTAATTTAAGCTATAATTATCCATTAGTGAGGACAATCGTAACTTCGATACGAAATTTTATACATTGAATTGAAGGGTGAATGAGACTTTGTTCCAAATAAATAAATAATATTCTACTAACATTAGTACGCCCAATTAAATTCCTTTCCTGCATCGTACCGTTTTTTTATTAAATAAACATATCTGGTTATATTCTGTGATTTTGTGTTTTCAATTCTGAAATTCAAGATTTTTTTTTTTACAAAATTTTGTAAAATTATACAATCTACAGAGACAGTATTGTGTCAGACTGGAAATTTCTTTTTCTTTTTTTGACCAAAGTGAGATTGGAAATTCCATTGAAAAATTATGTGTCTGACATCCGTCAATAGAACACCTTTTTGGACCCGGATATATATATATATATAATACTAACATTTCATAAATGTGCATCCTAGAGCAATTTATTAATATTATGTATGTTAGCCAGACAAATAATGAAGTAGGAGAAATCAACCGCCTCACTCACTCAATACAAGCATCAATATTGATACATCAATTAAAACTTTTTTTTTAACCTTGCCACTCCTTAATTGCAACAAATTGTTGGCCTGGTTTGAATTTTTATACATTATTTTATTATAGATATTAATTACAGTAAAAGACAATTGAAAAAAAAAAATCACATTTCGCAACGAGTTTAAAGCATATATCAACCACTACGCTTTAGTAACAGTAAAATTAGTTAACTTTATCTTATAATTAAAATTAAGGGAGCATGATTGAACACGTTATCAAAAGTGAGGTGGGGTTAGTTACTTATTTTCTCTAAAAGTATATTGTCGCTCCAGAACCATGGTCTTATCCAAGTTTTATTTCTACACTTGGGTCATTTGATCCTCGTGACCAATTTTCTCTTGAATGTAATTATCAAAAGTAAGGTGGGGATAAGTAAGGTTTGTTGGAGAGGAAAGATTAGTGGGTAAGGGAAAGGAAAAAAAACAGTGAGCGATAGATAAAGAGGTATTAGAAGGGTTGGTTTGGTAAGTATTTGATGCAATTATGAACCTTTTAACATGGCAGTCTCCTCGTTCACTTCACTCACTGGTCCTTCCAGGTAACGTGTTCCTTCAGCTACACTTGCCCTCTCTTCAATTCACAGAACAGCAACACAACTTTTGTTAGGACACTGAAAGTGACTTCCAAATGTGAACTTGTGTTGTGAGATTTACGCATCCTCATCATCATCGTGCATCACAATTCTCAAAGTCAACATGTGTTGAATGGCGATATTAAGTTACACGGTGGGGTTCAAGTTCCAAAGTGTGAAGGAAACTCTGGGGAAGAGGGGTGGAATTAATGAAATAGAAAAATAGTACCGCATGTGTTATTTCATAATGAGGATGATGCAGAAGAAGGAGAATTACTGTTTCGGCACGTGAAAAATCATTAGAAAATTGAACAGAAACAAGACAGGACAGGACTCTGCAATCGATCTGCAATTCTGCAGATGGGATTGATGGAAATGAGGTCTCTCAGGAAAATTGTCGCGTGTGTGTGAAGAGACTTAATAGAAATACCAAGTCCAAGTTTTCACACCAACATGTACACTTGTGTCGTCTGCACTGTCTTCAGTTTTTAAAAGCCTGACCCAACACTCATCCGGTTTCGACAATGATGTGACCCTGTTTAATCCAAACTCAGTCAAGAGCTGGAAAAACCATGGTTGAACTGGTTGATGCTTATGTGTGTGTGTATATATATACTGGCACCAATAAGTTTAAATATTTCGGTGGAAGCCTCAAATTAAGAAATAAAACCTGCGAGGATTATGGTCCTCGGCGGATATTATATTTTAAGGAAAATTATAAGAGTACCATCTATTTTCCTGTACTCATCTCTAGAGTAGAATGCAGATTATTGAAGCTTCATGCATGACTTCAATATATCAATGCAGACAAAAAAAGATATTTTAATATTTTCTTAAACATATATTGTGGCTTCAGTGCCATAATACTCTAAAGGCTATGTTTTTGCATTTCGGACATACGCCCTAATAGTTTGGTCTTTTGATCATTGCGGCCAATTTTTCCCAGACTACAGTAAAAAACCGTACAATAAAACTAAAATCAAGACATCTCTAAAGCCGTCATGCTTTTACAATTAAGTGACGGACTGTCAAATAATAAGATAATAACAAAATTTTTATCAAAAACTTTGTGGGTTAAAAAATTAATGTATCAATTTGTTTCTTTGTAATTGTAATTGAATATGATTTCTTAATCTCTCATAGAAAAATTCTTGATGTTCTTGATAATAGCAGAGAGAGGGTGATAATGGAAGAAATTGCTTTCAACAAGAGAAAGAGCCTTCAAAGAATTAAAATAAAACGTTAACTCTAAAAATTTTAGCATATCAATAAAGGTTAAACTCTTTTAATATTCTTATAAGTTTAGTTGTTGTGCTTAGTTGATATCCAAGATTTTTGGAAAAGCCTTTAGTCTTGTTACCCTTATTGCCTTTGATAAGGCCTCCACATGCAACAAAACCATTATGGTTTACCGAACCATCGACATCCAAGATTAGGCAGATTTCATCTTGCTTCATGTCTGGTGTCAATCTTATTCAACAAGTCAAGATTGGATTAAAGCTTCAAGTTGTTGATGATTTGTTGAGAATTAAAGAAAGCAATGTCATTGTTTAAGTTAATATTTTTGAAGTAGAGTTTTTTGCATATAGCTTTTCAAATGTTCCAGCAGGCATGAGCAAAAAATTTTTGCCAAAGCAATTGTCTTGTAGATAAGCTCCCTACTTCATTTTTAGCATTTCAAATAATCCAACACTGTATATATATATATATATAGAGAGAGAGAGAGAGAGAGAGAGAGAGAGAGGTATTAAACTTTGTGGGATTGATTAATTTTTTCCAAACCTCCTTGACTTTCTTGTAGTCTCATAAAATATGAATAACAAAGTTAGGAGAGTTACAATCAAGGAAACAAGAACGATGTTGGGAAATATATCCATTAGAGAGAGTGACATTAATTTAAAGCCGATCTCAAGCAGCTTTCTCAAGAAAGTATTTAATTTTTTTATAAGTAGGCCATTTTTAAATCTTAGACTAGATATCAATGTGTCTCCAAGTTTTATGAGTCTTATAGCTTTATAGGCAGATTTTATAGAAAATTACCATCGAATGAGAGCCTCTAAATAAGAATGTCATCCTTACCATGCTTATTAGCTGATTGCACAAGAGCAATATGCTTAATAGTGTCAGGGTGGAGGTAGTGTCATAAAATATCAAATTTCCAACTACCAGCAGGCTTGCAAAAATTTGAGACTCTAATATATCAAATAGAATTAATATTATGGGAGGCATGTTTAATAAGAGGGTCGAGAAATTCATTTATCATATAAAAAGAATATTTTATCACCTTTATCCACTTTTCAACTAGTGTGAGTTTTGAATTTGTCCCAAATTTTGCTTATGCTATTTTAAGTAAGGAAGAGTTCGGTTTAACTACTATGAAAATGGTGGGCTTGTTGCGATTATATGTAACACCCGCGCCCAATTTCATTCTGTTTTAGTTTCGAAAGTTTCATTCTTTTTGCAATTTGGTTCTTGTATTCTTAATTAGCATTAATTGATCCTATGGTTTTAAAATATTAAATAAATGGTCCTCATGCTTTAAATATATTCACATAAGTGTTAAATAAATGTTTTCAAGCATCGAATGAATTTGATCCTAGCCAAAATTAGTGATAGTATTTACTATCGAGTCGGGCGCATGATCTCTCCCTTTCTTTTTTTTCCTTTTCCTCTCCATTTCCTTAATGTTAACCGTACAATTTATGTGGCTCTTATCTCATTATTCAAATTAAAGTATCAGCTGTAATCTAATACCATTATTACCTAAACAATTTATCCTTAAAAAAATTGCTTCAGTTTGTGCATAAAAAATGATTATGAATTTTTTTATTAAAATAAACAGTGTCATTTGAAAAAAACAAATGCTATTAATTTTTTCCAAACTATTTAGTTTAAAATTTTATTCTTGTGTTTCAAATTAAATTATTATAACTTTAATCATTATTTTAGCTTTATTGTATTATTTATAAATAAAAATATTAAAAATGGAGAAGAAATATTAATGTGTATATATAAGTATATTATTTATAAATTCAAAAAAAAGTTCCTACCAAAAAATTAAAACTGTTTCATTGAGTAAAACTAATTTTTAACTGTTTTAAATCAATTTATAAATTTTAAAAACTGTTTTAGTGGGGAAAATATTAATGTGTATGTACATAAAAATATTATTTATAAATTTCAATGTAGGACCATATGTTACTGGAAGAACATCGCATCAGAAAAACGTAAAAATTAGTTTACTCAATACTCACTAAAACAGTTTTTAATTGTTTTGATAGGAACAGGTTTAAAAATTTATAAATAATATATTTTTTAATCTTTTAAATAACATATTTATATAAATACATTAATATTTCTCCATTTTTAATATTTTTTATTTATAAATAATACAATAAATATAAAAATAATGATTAAATTTATAATAATTTTAATTTGAAACACAAGAAGAAAATTTTAAACTAAATAGTTTGGAAAAAATGTAATAGCATTTTTTTAAATGACACTGTTCTTAATAAAAAATTCCAGAATTTTTTTTATACACGAACTGAAACCGTTTTTTTAAAGATAAATTTGTTTAGATAATAATTGTGTTAGATTACGGCTGGTACTTTAATTTAGATCGTGAGATAAGAGCCGCATAAATTACACGGTTAAAACGGAGAGAGAAAGAAGAAAAGGGAAAGAGAGAGACCTTGCGCCCTGTATCTAATATGACAAGTAATATTGAACAAAAGAAGTAAAGAACAGTACATCCGGAGGGAATTTTATTTCACATCTATTACTAAATTTAAGGTATAATGATGATTTATTTGGTATTTAAAATTGTAGGAACAAAATTAATGCCGGTTAAAACATGGCAAATCGTAAATTAGGTGAGATTTTGAGGATCAAAAGTTACATTTTTCTTTCTTTTTCTTTCTTTTTTTTTTTTTGCTTTTTATGTTCAATCCATATAGTGGGATAACACTTATTATTATTGGTGTCTAATTTTTTTCTAAGATTTGATTTATGCAGATTTGTACTGAAAAAGAATGGGAAATAAAGATAAATAAGTAAATGTGCCAATATACATATTAGAAAATTACTCTCTTGAAATCACAATGTAAGATATCTTCTAAAAAACTTTATTTAATCTAAAATATAGGGTATTGGATAACTTTTGCATTTGTTTTTCTATCCACACCCCTAATTTATTTATTACTCTTTTAAAAAATCATGTATTAAAATAATTATTATTATTATCAAAGCTTTTAAAGAGATTTATTAAAGAATAAATAAATTGAATTTAAAATTTTAGAATGTTACGTAAATTGTGAATTAGTTAATTAGACTTATATTAAATCTGAGAGGACATATATATGTATTTTTATTTTATTTTTTTTTCGTTGCTTGTTCATCATTTTTTTTATCTTTTTTTTATTTTTACTTTTTCTATTTATAATAGTTTAATTAAAAATACATAACAGTAGTTTACAAGTCTTTGATTTTTGTGGGTTTCTCATATCTTGCTCTCTGCAACACTCGTTTAGGCACATGACATGTTGGGAAACGTGTAAGAAGCTGTATCATTACAATCATCACGTACGTTTTTTGGCCACATGTCTCGTTATATTTGACCCTCAAGCTTGGAATTCTTATCATATTCACATCTTAGAATAAAGCAGTGAGGAAAAAATAAAGAACTCTCAGTCCTAAACTTCTGGTGGACATCATCTGCTGTTGAACTGGGGACTTGGAAAGAAGGATCTGTTGCTGCCTTAAACTTCTTCCTCTGTCTTTTTTAGCAGTATCAATAGCTTCATCTTCTGTTGTGTAGATCTTTAGATTATGAAACAGTTCAACATAACTAAGTACGTTAATTAACTCATACATTCATTCTTTTGTGGGATTCTCATGGAATCTATGGTTCTCTGCAGGCTGGTTATAGGCACATCGACACTGCTTGGGAATATGGTGTTCAAGAAGATGTATCATTATCATTATCATTATTTTTTTTGGCCAAGATGTATCGTTATATTTTTTGGTCTTTCTTCAACTGTTTTGGGATGAGTTCTTATCCACTAAGATTCTCTGATCTTACAATAAATTCATTTTTAAGGAAAAAATAAATCGAAGTCTCATGTCTCCTCAAACTGTAACTACAGGTTGGACACGGAATTCAGTCTGCCATGCAAGCAGAGTGGAAAGGAAGGATCTGTATGTCACCTCTAAACTATGGTAATGAAATCTTCTGGTGGCATATCCAATTCAGTTAAACTAATTCCTTGGACTTAATTTAATCATTCATCGACCTGGTCATATGTCCAAATTAACTTGCCTAATAAACGCCTTGAAAGTTGAAATTTCACCATATAGTGATGGGTCAGACGAAATTGTTGTATAGTTAAAACTATGAACTTGTTTAGAACTGGACGGTTGAATGAAACGATCAAATTATTATTATTATATGCAGGTGCACTGACTTGACCCCTGAAAGGGTTCGTCCTGCAATCACCAACACACTTCAAGAACTGCAACTTGACTACCTTGATCTTTACTTGGTAGAGTAATTTAATCTAGTGATATCATTATGTTTTCTTTTTTTTTTGGCCAGATTTTATTATGCTAAGTATCAGTCTTTCTCTTTTTTCCACTATAAGATCAGAAACAGAGAATTGATTGTAAATTGATGTATAAAAAAAATGCAGATTCATTGGCCATTTCGTCTGAAAGATGGAGCCAAAAGACCTCCCTGTGCAGGAGAAGTGTTGTAGTTTGACATGGAGGGAGTGTGGAGAGAAATGGAGAAACTTGTGACGGATAAACTTGTTAGAGACATTGGAGTCTTCAATTTCACTCTTAAAAAGCTTGATGAACTTCTGGATTTGGCTCAAATAATGCCTTCAGTTTGCCAGGTGATGAATTCATATATGCATTTACGTCTTGGTGCAAATAATTCATTTATGTCTCACCAAGCATTAAATTTGCTTAGCGGTTTGATTTAGATGGAGATGCATCCTGGGTGGAGGAATGACAAGATGCTTGAAGCATGCAAGAGGAATGGAATCCATGTCCAGGTAATTACTTGTCTAGTGCTAATTTTTTTTATATAGCACTTAAGATTTTCTATTTAATATAATGTCAATCAATAATTGGAGCACTGAAAGTAAAATCTGTGTGTAGGCCTACTCACCACTGGGGTCACAAGAGGGCGGGAGAGATCTGATCCATGATCCGACGGTGGATAGGGCAGCCCAGAAGCTCACACAAGACTCCAGCTCAAGTGTTGGTGAGGTGGGCCATTCATAGAGGGACAAGTGCCATCCCGAAATCCACTCACCCTGAAAGAATCAAAGAAAATATTACAGTTTTTTAATTGGGAATTCCGGAGCATGACTTCATCGCTCTCAGCAGCATCACATCAGGTATCAAAAATATGAATTCTTCGGAGATAAGTCTCTGCCAACAGGTTGCTGGTGTTAAAATAATTGAAATGTATAACTGGATCACTAATTCTGGAAATATATTTGAAATATGGGGCAATTGGTGGATGCAGAAACGAGTTCTAGATGGTGAAGAGCTGTTTTGTGACAAGAGTGAGGGTCCATACAGGAGTGTTGCAGACATCTGGGACCATGAAGACTATCAGTGACTGCTTTTTCTTTTTCGCTTTTCTAAGGGTTCTATATTGTTGCTTTCAAGGGACTAAAATGACTATAGTTCAAAGTTGTAATTTTAGCGCAGACATTGAAAATCTGTCGAGTCTTCTTTAACTTTAGGTATTAAGCTCAAAGATCTCTCCTGTTTTTTATTATTTTATAATTTAAGTATTTCCAAAAGCAGCAAGACCTTTTAAATCTTCTACACCAGATGGTTCGTTCCTTTCAAGTCATAGTTTCTGCTCGCTAGAATGACCTGATTTTTCCGTAACATGCGATGGTCCATCAGATGCTTTTTTTTTTTTTTTTTTGAGCAAACCATCAGATGCTTTTTACTGAGAAGAAACTGAACTACTGAATAATACTGATCGAGAACGCCAAGAGACCAAAATTCTAGAAGAATAGATCATAACAATAGGAGAACACGTCCACATGATGATATTAGTCTCAGGCGGAGTTCAAACAGAATTTTGAACTGAAACAACTGTTATTCATATTTATATCATATATTCTTCCTTTCAGAACAGGCATTACAAACTATAGTGGTCATATATAATTGACATTGGTCTTACAATTGAAGACAGGCATTATGGTTTTAAGTAACATTGTTGCTCCCATTTTCTCTAGTGGTAATATGCAGACATTGTCCACTATTATTATGCTGTATCTGTTTAACTCACACTCTTCAAACCCTCTATTTCAACCTTCTAATACAACTAGAGGTCCAACCTTTGGCTATTAATGACTTGCCGAAAGGTCTCTCCAGATTCACTGAAACTGAATTCTTGGTCTTGAGGGGATATTTATGGCTGAACTAGTGAACTTCAACTCCCTCAAGAAACTGAGATGGATGCCTCCTGTTCACATCCCTAATGAGCCCGGTAAGTTTAGATATAGAGTTGGCTCTGGATAACCCTTTAAGAGCTACCCATTCATCCTTAGAGACTAAACTGTCTAAGCTTCTGGTGTCTTCATTTCTGGCAGATTCATGGTAATGCTTCCTTTGACGCCTATTTTCCCCAGATTTGGTTAAGCCTGGCTGATCTTTCAGAAACAAGCATATGGCTGCACAATCATCAACCTTGGCACCAGGAAATTTATAATCCCATGCCTGCACAGCTCGCTTTACCAACAATCTCGCCGCTCTGGACCTCCTCGGTGCTGAAGCAACTATTTCTATAACTTCATCATTTGTCAATGCATCCCAAACCTGCCAAATAAATCAATAAATAAAGTTCAGTCCTGCTTGTAACTAGATGCATGTACTTTGTGGAAAGCGGTTTCTGCTTGGGCTGGAGGTGTTTCAAATGGAAGTACTAAACTATGATTGTAGGCTTCCAGAGGGATTAAAACTTTCAGATGAAGCTCATTTTGATCTTGATTACTGAGGCTTATGCCATATAAGCTATCGACTCATTAATTGTTCCAGTGAACTTTATTGCCATATGGGAAATAGTGAAAGATCAAGTTTTCATCAACTTTTTAAAGTGGAGATTCTTCATAGCTTACCCCATCAGTGGCCAGAACCACAAATTCATCCTGCTCGGTTAATCTTCGATAGAAGACATCGGGAGATGAGATGAGGCCATAATCTTTTAAGCAAAAGTCTCCAAAGGCTCTTGACATAGCTAGTCCAGGGCAGTCTTCATCAGGCATCCACATTCTGTACACATCAGGCTCTTCTTCCTCAGCGAAAACCCTGCCTTCACAGCTGCGGATCCTTTCAGCTTCACCTGAGTGACATTCAAGAAGAAAAACTCGTTAGACCCATGTGATTGTAATGTAAGAAATAAGAATGAGGCATTTGAGGGCAATGTAAAGACCTACTTGGGATATCTGGTTTCAAGTCAACAGTAAGTTGAAGAGGAATGAGTTGATCTCTAGCCCCTCTCGTGCAAAGAACCGCTCGAGAATCACCTAAATTGCCAATTATCAGCTGGTCACCCTGAAATTTCAAAGGACGAAAAAGGAATTATTGAATGAAAAGTTTTCTTAAAAATCAGATGACAATAAGATTGTGATTTGCACAGCCTAGGCTTACAAGAATTCGAGAAATTGTTGGGAGCCAAATAATCCACAACCAGCTGACGCAAGAAACCAATAGAAACTCAAAAGAATGAGTCAATAGTGTGTCATTGAACCCCACGGTTAACAACACTCATGTTGATGAATTTTCCTCAGCTGTAAGAAAAAACATCATATGATGTATCAAAGAAATTCTCCTAGGTATACCTGTTTGATTACAGTTACAGCAGTGCTGCCGCTGTAAAAACTGTTGGTGTTGATGTCCCGAGCAATGGCTTGATCCATCTCGTTGAAGGATTTCAAAAAGGTGTTCTCCCATGAAGCAAGGGACAATGCTTGGTGATTTTCACCTTCTGCAGCATATGCATCTCTATGCATGAAGACCTTTTGCTGTGACATTTTGATTGCTGCAGAAAGCTTTGAGGGTAAATGTTTGCGTACATATCGAGCAACCACATGCCCAAAAGGACCGTGACCATCGAACACACCACAAAAGATCTTATCTTTTTCTCCATTGAAGTCCTAGTAACATATCATATCAAACATTCATCAATATAAACCATGGGAATAAGTTAAACTCAAGTTTCTCATATCAATATCATCCATATATGTATTTTTTCATTTCTCGTACAGCCCAGATATCCAGTTGAACAAAAGAAAAACCAAAGCATCTTGGTTCATGTCTTGATTAATGGGTATCAGTAGCAGACATACAAATATTGCTTCTAAAGTTTGCTGTCATAATCTGTTTTGGGGCAATACAGCTTAAGATGTTGCTCCAAAACGTTTAAGAAATTGTGTGAGGACCCTTTGACGAGACAAACCAGGGTCAGACCTGTATAAGAAATAATGGAAATTGTATGAAAATCAGAAGAAATTATATATACCTCCCAAACTGTCATTGCATCTTGATTGACTTCTTTTCTTCCCTGCTGGCTGTACATTGACACAAACCTAGAGTGTCCTCTTAGCCTGACTCGCCCTTCACCTTCACCATATGTGGAAATGGAAATATGGTCCTCTACGGGATCAAATTCCTTCTCATTCACCTCATTTTCCATTGAATATTGACGAGGAACATTGTCACTACAACAATTCCCCATAGAACCAAAACAACCAAATTTTACAAGAATAAAAATCACAAAAAAGGGAACCCCTCAGAATTCTAAGGAAAACCCAGAAAATTTTCCGAGAAACCCAGCGAGAAAATGAAGGAAAATAGTAAATGTCTAAGGACCGGGAAGGCTAAGGTTGATTGAGAAGCAGGGAAGAAAATGGGAAATGGAAACAGAAACTATAGAAAGTGGGGAGAAGGCCACATATGCATGCGAAAACAGAATGTGAAGGAACAATGAAATGAAGAAGTAATCATAATGGGAAAAAAGTCTGAATTGAAACTGTGATTTCAGAAAAAAGATGATGAACTGGTTTGTTCAATTAATCACCGGCCGGCAATCCCCATTGCATTTCTCAAAAGGAACAGCAAAAAGGAAATGCAAAGATTAATGACGTCAAGAGATTCTCAAACAGACTTCGTTGCGCTGAAAATTATGTGGGAGAAAACGACAGCTAGGCATTGCTTTTCCTGATGACCATAACGACCATAATTGATTATTAGGGCATTAATTAAAAATCATTTGTAGAATGTCAGTTAAGTACATTAAAAGGAAAAAATGGCATTGAAGGATCCCAGATTTGTAAGACATCAAGAAATATCAGCTTTTTATAAATAAAAAATAAATGAACAAAAATATACCTGTGCTAACTTAATTGCAAATTTTGTAAGTTTATTTGCAAATCCTGGAACTTCAACTGCAAATTTCAACAACTCAGTTATAAATATCTGAAGCTCTATTTCAAATAGGTTGTTGATTATGGAAATTTTGTAAAACCTAAAAACTCAACTGTAAATATCGAGCGCTTGGTTGCAACTTGCAACCCCTGAAAATTCATTCATAAAAATATTCCCCAATTGAAGATTTATTTGTAACTAATATTTTAAACAAGTATTTTAATATATTCCTTCCATTTTAAAAATATAAAAATTTTACCTTTCAATAAAGTAGTTATTTATCTTTAAACTAGTGCTATCTTTTTATATATATTCTGATTTAGTATAGTATTTTATTTAAAATAAATATAAAATAATTTATTCATTAAGAATATTTTTGAAAAAAAGGTAATAGTTACACTTTAAAATATTAAAAATACCTTACACCTTATATTTTTTGAGGGAGTATATAATACACTTTTGAAATTTGTAATTTGTAATTGAGCTTTTAGAATTTGCAACTATAATATATTATCATTTGTGTAAGGATATTTTTATCCATTAACTTATGCTATCTCACAAATTCATTGTCACCTGATATCAATTTTTTCGTTTTAATGTTCCTTCTATGACATTCTCCTTTAGTTTTATCAACCCTAAGCTGATAATGGTATTGGCATCCATCTTTTGAGTGTTTTTTAGATCAGAACTTTTGAGTTTATATTTTGCAAAGCTTTTGAAATTAAGCCATTAAATTTGATTTGGTAATGAATAATAAAATTTAAAGAAGATTAACAGGCAATTTTACTCTTTAATTATTCATGTAGGGGTGTCTATAACCTTAAACATTTTTTTGCGTAAAGTTTCACTTTTATGGTTAATCAAGACATTATAAAAAATGGCCTCAAAAATTATAAATAAGTAATTTATAATAAAATTAATGTCAATTAAATCTTTTAAATTATAAATAAACTCTAAGAACATAATGTCATTTCATATCCATATAAAAGAGAAAAAAATACTATTTCAATCAGTCACTTTGACTAGCTGATTAACAAATCACCATTATTAACAGCAACATTGATAAGTAACTAAAATGTATTATATTTGTTTTAATAATATCTTATTAAAATGTTAAAAATATTAATACTTTAATATATAAAAATTTAAATGTTATTATTTATGAATCTTTATGCACAGTTTCTAAGTAAAGTAGCTGAGTTATTAATTTTTAAAAGAAAATTTATAAATTTTGAAAAATATTTATAAATAAAAATAAAATTTAAATTATTAATATTAAATTATTAATATTTTATAAGATGTTATTAAAACAACTTATTATTTTTTTTTCCAAAATTACTAACTGGGTTGTTATTAATTACGATGATTCAATAATCACGAGGTAACTATTAGAATAATTGGTCAAAATGTTATTTTAATTTTAAATCTAGTAATAGTTTATTACTATAGATGCTAAACTCATTTATTATGCAAGTTATTCACTGAATTTTTGAAAACGGTATAATATGACTCTTGTCAATAATAAAAATTAATTTTGATTATTACTTAACAAGATGAGGATAGAAAAGAACCGAGAAAATTGTAAAAAAGAATAAAAAATTAAAATAAAGGATTTAAAAATTACAAAGGATGACCAACATTTTTTTTAGTCATTTTCTGTAAATTTTTATGTCTTTTTATGATCAACTAATAGTAAAAGTGAATTTTTATTTACAACAGGGGCCAAATTACATTGTTTTTAAAACTGGATATAAAGTTTAGAGAGTAATTTGTTCATTTATTTTAAACTTTGAGTGCATCAATATGAATTACTCTCCTCATTAAAAAATATAAATCATTTTTTAAGAGATTTGATATTAAAAAATGTAAGATATTTTTAATATTTTAAAGTATAATTATGATTTTTTCAAAAGTAGTCATAATAAATAAATCACTTTACATTTATTTTGAAGTGAAATATCCTATTAAATAAGGATAAATATAAAAAAAATAATGTTTGTTTAAAAACAATCAACTATTTTATTAAAGGTGAGATTCAATTTAAAATTTTTTATATTTTTTTACAGGAAGAGTGTATAAATTTGGAATTACCAAATTTCATATTTTTCATTTGAAATGACATGTTTGGGTTTAAGCTCTCTGTCTTGGTAAATAAGAAGAATTTAAACACATGATTTCTACAAGTTGTCTAAGATATGAGTCCTCTAGAAAACATGTAATTTATTTTATTGAATAGCATCAACATTTTAAGTTTTTTTTAACAACTAACCTAGTATTAAGTTTATAAACAATTTTTTTTTTGCCAGAAGGTTTATAAGCTAATTCATATTTGAGTTTTGACATTTGCAAATATTAAAATTTTTTTCATTGGTAAGATTTAAATTCATAACCTCAAAACTAAAATTCATTTTAGCCGGATTTAAATATTTTAGTGCATGTGTAGTTTCATGTTAAGAACTATTAATCCATGAAATTTTTTTAATAGAAAATACTCCCTCCTGCCTTTATTATATGGCATTCTTTTTGGGGGAAAATTGATATTTGAGTATAAGACATATAATAAGTTATTAACTAATATTTTTAAATTTTATCCCCAGTAAACCACTAAAAGAAAAATTTAATTCTAACTTTAGTATTTTTATATTGATATTAGAATATTGTGGTTCTCTCTCTCTCTCTCTTTGTGAACAAAGTTAAAATACGAGTATATTTCAATTTTAAAACATGTAATGAGCGAATTATTCTTTTTCAAATTCTGCTGAAGTAGTAAAGTGAGTAAACACAACTGAGAAAACCCACCCCCCAACCACAAAAAAAAAAGTGAGTAAACACACTCCTAGCCAGCAGTCAACATTTAAGCATTTTCCTACTCATTACATTTTTCAAGGTAAAAGGATAAGGCAATGTTCTTGGTAAAGGAAGTTGGCAATGGCGGAACTAAATCACTATAAATGCAAATGACAGAAATGAACAGAGGTGAGAAGAGGAAGAAGATTGAGGCCAGAGTTTTGGCCTTCCAAATTTGACCAAATTGCCATTTTTAAATGCTTTATCTCACTCCCTCTCACACATGAATTCTAGCAATAAATGGAAACGGATGCATACACTAAAATTAGTCCAAAGCATTAATTTGATTTTGATGTCAAGATAAGCATTCAAGTTCAGACACTATTTATTGCAAAACTACATTTGAATCTGGATAACCAGACAAGATAGATCATGAAGTCAATGATGGCTTGGCTTGAATTTTAAAAAAATAAATTATTTTTATAATTACATATAGAGGTGTTAATTAGGGCTGCTCTAGTTCTTGAAAAATTAATATCTAAATAAGCTGGTTCAATAAAACTCAATTATACCTTAAGATTTCATTTTGGCCAGCTCATCCCTAACCTTGATCCTCAAGGCTTTGGCCGTAGACTTTTTTTTTCAAAAATATATTTAAAATTTTAAAAATTTATTACACATAACATTAAATTTATAAAAATAAATTTAAGTCAATACAGATAATAAAAAAATTAAGTTTAATAAAAAAACAACAACATTACAAAATTGATAACAATTAGACTTTGCTAGTATTATTGGCAAAATTTTGATGATGTTCATTGTCATCAATATCAATATAATTTATCCTTATCTTTGTGGAGTCTCAACAATGATAAAGATATTAAGTTTTTTTATATATATTGATTCTTCATCCTCATAAAATGAGACTAGGCTTTTAGAATTAGTGTAATATTTAATTTTTTTAATATTAAAATTTAAAAAAATATAAAAAAGGCTTAAAAGGGCTAAATCTAGCCTTAAAGAGCCAGCCTTTTTATTTTAGGGCTTAAAAGGGATGGCCCTTTTAAGCTTAAATTATCATTTTGCCTTCTAAAGTAGTGACCCAACCCTAAATTTTTTTTAACTTAAAAGGATTGGCTTGATGAGCTCAGCTTTAATTAATGACTTTAGTTGCATGGGATTGAATCAAGGTTAAGACCTTATTGAGTCAAAAATTAGAGTTAAGTAAAAAATTTAAAAAAAATTCAAAAAATTGAATAGGTCTAAACCTAAAATAAAAAAAAGATTAAAAAATTTTTAAAAGCTAGAAATTTTAAAAAATTAGACCAAATTCATTTTTTGACCTTTTACATGTATACAATATGATTTAAAATCATCTTTTTTTAAAAATGTAACAATTATAAATATAAATGTAGATACTTTAATTTTTATCTTTTATATTTATATAATATATATTATATTTACATTTAATATTTTTTATTTCCAAAATTGACTGCTAGTATAATCAATTATATTGTAAAATTGAGACCTGTTGACCTCTCCGGTTTGGCTATTAAAATATCAACATACCACCATAAAAATATTGATTCAAACTCCTCTAAACTTTTAAATAAAAAAAATTCTGCGAGGCAAATATATCATTTTTACATGAATTATTTTATTTTTTTCCTAAATACGCCATATTCTTGTACTTTTTTTTTGTAAATATAAATGATTTGAACGAGCTTTAAGAAAAAGGATTTACCTTTTTCCATAAAACGATTTTAATTTTTTACATTAGACACAACATGTGCGGTTGCTATTTTTTCATCTCCAAATTGAAAATATAAAATGATATCATTTGCCAAGGTAGGATAGTTAACCCAATTGGATTCAAATATGCTCTAATCAAATATGACCTTTTAGTATCAAATGTCAGATAATAGTATAAAGACCTGCTTGCA